GATCCACAGCTAATGCTAACAGCAGATCCACAGCTAATGCTAACAGCTGATCCACAGCTAATGCTAACTTTTTTATTCAGCCTTTATTTCTACAGGTTAGTGTCATTGAGCCACGAGGACTCGTTTAAAGAGAGACCTGTTCCAGACAGATCATATAAAGTCCAGACAACAATGACAACAATACTAATGCAGTTAAAATAAGAGAGTCGTGTATAAAACGGTGAAAAACAAGAACATATTTACTTTGATTTTTCTGTTGACACCAAATGTCAATTGTCATCATTGACATCAAGGTGGACAACTTCACTTCCTGTTGCGAGCTGTTCCAGGTGAGGAGCTGAGTAAGAAAAGGCCTTTTTGCCAAGTTCAGTCTGCACTGAGGGGACGCTGCAGGTAATGATGTCCTGAGCGCGCACGCTGTAACTGCACTGACGACGTGACGTGGGAGGAGTTGAAGGAATGAATTGGAAAGACGCAAAATAAAAAAACACGTTTCCGACATTTAAACGAGTACGGGCTAAGTTTTATTTGCATATCTTGTGAGAAATGTCTAGCTGATCTTATTGTTACAGACTTTTCTGTTTTGGTTGCACATTAAAATATAGAAACTGAGAAGAATCACTTAAATAAATAATAATGTTCATTTGTTCTTCTACACTGCATCTGTGGCAGGAAATTTCATGATTATATTTCTCACATTTTCAAATAGCAACTGCCTTTGGCTGAAATAAAGTAGAAAATGTTGCAATATTGATCCTTTTTTTTTTTTTGGTAGCGTCAGCCCAGTATTAAAATGAAAACACATCTAACCATTATCTTTACCCGCTTCTTCCTTTCTGGGTCACTGGTGCCCATATCTAGCAGTAGTAGAGGCAGGGGACACCTGGACAGGTCTCCAGTCCATCACAGGGACACCTGGACAGGTCTCCAGTCCATCACAGGGACACCTGGACAAACAACCATTCACTCTCTCACCTAGGGACAATTTAGAGTTACCAATCAACCTAACATGCATGTTGTTGGTCTGTGGGAGGAAACTGGAGTACCTGGAGAAAACCCACACAGCACAGAGACAACATGCAAACTCCACCCAGAAAGGCCCCTGCTGGGATTTGATCCGGCAACCTTACTGAGAGGCAACAGCTCTATGAACTGAGCTACTGTTCAAGTTTCTTTGTCATTCGCACCTCATGTGGTACATGTGGTGGAGCGAAATTATGTACACAGGGTCCCAGTTACATCCAACAATAAAATGTATAAGAAAAACAGTAATAACATCTAAGATATGAACTAAGAAAAACATCAACTAAATATACACTAAGCACTCATAACATAAAACATTGAATATCAGCACAAACATGAACTTGAGTCTGTGAGCAGATGTGCACGCATGAACCCATCAACATTGAAACAGATCAGCAGCAACATTGAAACAGATCAGCAGCAACATGAAACAGATCAGCAGCAACATGATGTGATTATTCTGGTTAGAGATTCATGAGTCTAACAGCCTCAGGGTAGAAGCTGTTCCTCAGTCTAGTGGTTCTACACTTAATGCTCCTCAACCTCCTTCCTGAGGGGAGTGGGACAAAAAGTGTGCATGCTGGGTGAGTGTGGTCCTTCATGATGCAGGTGGCCCTCTTCCTGCATCTGGAAGTGTAGATGTCTGTGATGGTGGGGAGGCTGACTGACTGAAATAGCAAAAAAATATAAAGTGTAAAAAGAAACCGTAAATAATGATCTAAGATATACGCTAAACACTAATAATGTAAAATAATTCATGTATTAAACAGCAGCCTGAACATGAGTCTGGTGAGTGGATTTGTGTGAATATATCTTATATAGTGCTGCTTGAGGCGGCACTGCTGCCATCAATAATTGTAAATCTTCTTTTCTCAAAATTGAAACGGTGATCCCTCAAGGAACTATCTTAGGCCCCATCCTTTTCAGCCTGTATATTAATAATCTTCCTGAAATTTGTCCTGAAGTTAGTTTGCAAATGTATGCTGACGATGCTATCATTCACACGTCAGGTAAAAGTGTCGTAGTCAGTGAAAAACAGAAGAACGGCTTACAGACAATATCAGCGTGGCTGAATAACTCCTGCTTAACGTTTAACACACAAAAAAAGAAGTGTGTTTTCTTTTCAATAAAGAAAGCTCCATCACAGTCTTTGCATATTCAAATCAACAGGATTGAACAAGTATCAGGAAAAATATTTAGTAATAATTTTGTCTTGTGGAGCTGCCGTCTGGTCACAGACTCACCAAACTGCTCTTCAACCACTGGAAAGTCTCTACAGTCCACCTTGAAGGTTTTACACCTAAAGCCCATCAGATTTCATCACTGTAATATTTTACATAAGTTCACTATTCTAGAATTTTCCAATTTTATAAATTACAGTTTTTTAAATGGATCTTCAGATGCTTACATGGACTTGCACCCGAACCATGAATGGATGATGCAGAAACTGCAGGGCTGCAGCAGATCTACCAGAGCGGCTGTAAGGTTCCTCTTCCTAGAACCTCTTGTCCTCAAAGTTCTCTGTGAGAGGATCCACAGTTTGTTCCTCACTCCCTGTCACTTTAAAATCTGTGACCAGCTTCAATAAGTTTAAAAAACTAACTCTGGCTGTGTCAACAACAGCGTGCATTCACACTTACTGTATTAGATTAGGTTTTAATCCATGTTTCATGTGTATTATTAGTTTACTCTTTTATTACCATTCCTAGTAGTTTCTTATCTTTGTTTATAAAAACACTTCGAGGGACAAGCGCTGCAAATGAGCTCGCACTAAAAGCACCATGATACAAACATGGGACCGCTGCTTGATTCAGTTTGTCTGTTAATGTGTGTCAGTCCCTGATAATAAACTTAATAAATAATAAAAGACAATAATAATTTGTATGTAAAGTGTGGTTGGTTCCACCTCATGTACCACGTGTGATGCGCATGACGATGAAGAAAGTTGAACTTTGTGTGGTAGCACGTGAAGCTGACCTGGTGTGTTTCTGTGCAGTTGGTGGAGAACGAGGAGCAGTTCCAGCAGAGTTTAGCAGAAGTTTTGGTGAAGGAGACCCACGTCACTGTGAATGTGTGAGTAATGCTGTCCTCATGCTGCAAACTTCAGAAGGTCACAGTCTGTTGCACCAGACCAAACATCAGAAGACATTGTCCTTCTATAGTGTGAAGTTATAGGACAGGAAAAGGAGGAAATGGTGTGTTCTTAAATAAATTTAGGGTTTAGCTTCATTAACATTTCACAGTTACAAATGTGCATGTGTAAAAATCTGTCCACATGCCCAACAACATTCGTAGCTTTTTCCGATGTTCTACGTTGGCATTCAACACTTTTGCTCCTTTATCCCGACTTTTTTATTGACGTTTATACACAAACATATTTTTAATTTTTTTAATGTTATTTTATGTTGTGATAGCCACAACGTGCAAACTGGAAGTGATGGGTAGGTTTGGTGTCAAGGAAAGAAACCAGGAAGGACAGATGGTGGTGGATTTCACCAAGAGAATGGAAATGGCTGTAGTCAACACCTGTTTCCAAAAGAGGGAGGAGCATAGAGTGACCTATAAGAGTGGAGGAAGGAGTACACAGGTCAACTACATTCTGTGTAGAAGAGGAAACCTGAGGGAGATTGGAGACTGTAAGGTTGTGGCAGGGGAGAGCGTGGCCAGACAGCATCGGATGGTTGTGTGTAGAATGACTGTTGTTGTGAAGAAGAGAAAAAGAGTGAAATCAGAGAAGAAGACCAAATGGTGGAAGATGAAGAAGGAAGAATGTTGTGATAAATTCAGAGAGGAGCTGTTAAAGGCTCTGGGTGGTAAGAAAGAGCTTCCAGATGACTGGACTACTACAGCAACAGTAATTAGAGAGACAGGTAGGAAGGTACTTGGTGTGTCACCTGGACAGAGAATGGATGATCAGGAAACCTGGTGGTGGAATAGTGAAGTGCAGGAAGATGTTCAAAGAAAGAGATTAGTCAAGAAGAAATATGACAGAGAGAGGACTGAAGAGAGGAGACAGGAAGATAATGAGATGGGATGTAGAGCAAAGACGGAGGTAGCTAAGGCAAAGCTGAAGGTGTACGATGAGCTGTATGGGAGACTGGACACTAAAGGGGGTGAGAAGGACTTGTACCGATTGGTGAGACAGAGGGATCAGGCTGGAAAGGATGTGCAGCAGGTTAGGCTTGTTAAAGATAGGAATGGTAATGTTCTAACAAGTGAGGAGAGTGACGGGAAGATGGAAGGAGTACTTTGAGGAGCTAATGAATGAAAGAGAAAGAAGAGTAGAGGTCATAGAAACTGTGGACCAGGAAGTGGGAAAGATCAGTGAGGGTGAAGTCCAGAAAGCTCTGAAAAGAATGAAGCAGGTGAAGGCAGTAGGACCTGATGACCAGTGGAGGTTTGGAAATGTGTTGGAGAGATGGTAGTGAGGTTTTTGACTCAAACATTCAATGGCATATTTGAGGGTGAGAAAATCCCTGAGGAATAGAGAAGAAGTTCTGGTGGCCATTTTTAAGAACAAGGTGATGTACAGAGTTGTAGCAACTACAGGGGAATTAAGATGATGAGTCACACGATGAAGATCTGGGAGAGAGTTGTGGAAGTTAGACGAGAGATGTATCTGTGAGCAGCAGGATGGTTTCATGCCAAGAAAGAGCACCTCAGATCCATCTTTGCTTTGAGGATGATGATGGAGAAGAACAGAAAGGGTCAGAAAGAACTCCATTGTGTCTTTGTGGATTTAGAAAAAAACGTCTGACAGAGTGCCGAGGGAGGAGGTGTGGTGTTACATGAGGACATCTGGAGTGGCAGAGAAGTATGTTGGACTGGTACAGGACATGTTGGACTCATTTAAAGAGAGACCTGAACATAATAATAACGTAGAAACAGCTGTAGTGCTTCATCCAGGACAGGAAGTGCTCATTATACTTCTGCAGGGATAACTGTTATATCAAATATCTGTAAAGGTTTATAAAATAACATTTGCTTTTTTCTGAAATTTCTAGTTTGCAGATGATATTGTGATCTATGGTGAGAACAGGGAACAGGTGGAAGAGAACTTGGAGAGGTGAAAGAAGAGGAATGAAAGTCCGCCGTAGTAATCAGATTACATGTGTGTGAATGAGAGCGAGTACGAGGAACTTATAAACCTGGTTTATACGTTGATAAACAGTCGTGGTGAATCTTCGGTTCAACTTTGAGTTGTTTGATTATTTTACTGCACATTTCAAGCACGGCACACTTTGTGACTAAAAACCCGACTGTCCCTGTCCCTGGCAGGAGACTGGCCAAGAGTCTCCCTGTGCCCGTGGACGAGAGCCGTCCAAGGATCGAGCTGGTGGTGTTCATCATCGACCTGACCTCGGAGCTCAGGTGAGAACGTCGTTCCTTCTCCACCTGAACAGGTACCGCTCTCATGCTGTGGTTTCACTGGGATCAAGTTCTGCTTTTTGTAGAGCCCAGACCAACGTTAAATAAAAACGTCAGGATAATCCGGGTATAAAGCCCCGTAGAGCTGGTGTGCACACGACATCCTGTGATCCGTGCAGCGTCAGTGTTTCCTGCTCCGTCTGTGGCTCTACTTCAAACGGATGAAGCTGAACTTCAACTTTCACTCTGAGTTAAACGGAGCGCTGGTGTCCCAGGGGACGCAGAGACCAGTGCTCGTGCATGATGTCACTCCCACTGGTAAAACCTGTAACTGTTTTTTCTGCTAGTTTTCAGTCTGCAGAAGCTTCTGTGAAATATCTGGACCCTGGATACTTCCTGGGGAAAGTCTGCTTCATGGTGACTCGTGGTACGACAACAGGTTCATTATTTCCACTGAGTTTTAAGCTTTTTCTGCATGAAAGCAGAAGCTGAGAGTAAATGGAACAGATTTTATGGTTTGATAAAGTAAGACATCAGTTCTGATGAAGATGAGCACCAACTCATGCACACCTGTGTGGTTTTCTGTGGCAGCTCGTAGCGCCTCGGCCCCTGCCGAGCGTCTGGACGCTCTCAGAAAGATGGCCGCCTCGCTCCGCTGCCCTCTGCTGTTTGCAGACGATCAGGTTTGTCTTCCAAACTGTTGCCTTGTTTTATTTCTCACATGCAGGTCAACACAGGGTCAACCATGCAGTGAAATGTCCAGGATGAGAAGAACCGATTCGACTGTCTAAGGAAAAACAAGAACTATTAAAGCGTGCAATAAAGTACCATAAAGTGAAAAAGAAATACAATGCTCAAAAGGTCTAAAAGAAATATATTAAACAACAACAAGGTAGAATATAACGGTGCAAGTAGGATGCATTAGTAAAAAAAGTATTTCCAGGTAGAAATATAATAAAAATGTACATGATGTCCCTCGCTACTTCACCCCACGATAAACGAGGGACTCCTGTATACGGCACTTAACTAACATAAACTACACAACTACACACTGAGCATGCATCAGGATATAAACTACACAGGTTATTGCACAGTTAGGGAGTAGCACGAGATGAATTATGGTAGTGACATACATCATATATGACGTATACGACATGGATACAGCCACATAGTGCAGCAGCAGTAAACATGTCAGTTGTCACAGATGTGACGGTGCAGCTGTTGTCAGTAGTTCAGTACTCTGACAGTTTGTGGACATTAACTGTCCTTTAGTCTTTTTGTACGCGATGACAGACTCCTGCATCGTCTGCCTGAGGGTGGTAGACAGAAGAGTCTAAAAAAGTTAAATCTGGTCCTCTGGACATTCAAAAAAACAAAACAAAGCAAAACAACAAAAAAATGTAGAAACGTTTCGTCTCTCATCCGAGAGACTTCCTCAGTCTGAGGTGCTGTATTCAGCTCAGTCTCTTAAATAGCACCTTCTCAGAGTGGATCAACCAGTTTGCTGCTGACAACCAGAACCAGCTGATCACATGCTCAAGAAGGACCATCAGCCTAACAATGGATCATTAGCACCTGATGGCTGTTTACTGTTCACAGAGGGCTGAGTGATACTAGCAATCACAGCATTGTAAGAGGGGGACAGTTGAACCTGGAGGCTCCGCCCCTATTTAATGATGGACGGTTTCTTTTCACAAAGATGGCCTCCTTTACTAGTTCTGCTTGTTGGTTCAATCTTTGATAAAAAAAAAAAAAAAACTTTATTAAATGTGGACATGACGACAACACAAACTGTTTTTATACATTTCTGTAACAATATTTGTAAAAATGTGACCTTAGATACATTTTAATGTTTCCTTGGGTTTCTTGAGCTCACCTGTGGACCCTCAGGACCCCCAGTGGGGTTCTGACCCCCCCAGCTTTAGAACCAGTGAACAGTGCACGTGGCTGTCATCAGTTTCAGTCTTTAACATCAGTCCCGTCTGTTCTTGGTCTCCAGACGTCTGAGGGTGTCGTCAGTGCAGCCGAGCGCCTTCTCACCATCCTGAAGGTATCAGCCGGCCTCGTTCCCATGACGACCGCTCTGCACCTGTCCAACCTGACCAGGTGCACTCTGCCACCTGACATGGACCAGCCAAGCTTTGACCAGCTCCTTTAAACCTTGTTGTTGTGCTCTGGGTTTTTCCTCTTCATATTTATTTGTAATAATGTCTTCTCTTCCTTTTGATCTTTGTTATTTTTGTAAATGCTTATTTGATCGTGTCACTTCAAAACGTTAGACGGTGTACTTTTAGGAACCACACGTGGTGTTCAGAGAAAAAATAAAATATATAATCAGGACTGAACATGTTCTCTCATGTAGTTAATAGTTTTAAACTAGAACCAGTTTATGAACGTTTGAAGAGCAGCAAGAATAAAACGTGTGTGTGTGTGTGGGGGGGGTGTCCAAAGAGTTTCTGTCATCGTGACGGGATCTTCAGCGCTCACTGGAGCAGTTCGCAGCTGGGATGAGAACCAGCACCTCCAGGTCGAGGGTGAGGTTCTGCCTCAAGTGGAGGAGTTCAAGTATCTCTGGGTTTTGTTCATGAGTGAGGGAAGAATAGAGCGTGAGATTGACAGATGGATCGGTGCAGCATCTGCAGTGTTGTGGACTGTGCCGGTCCGTTGTGGTGAAGAGGGAGCTGAGCTGTAAGACAAAGCTCTCTGTTTACTGGTCGGTCTACGTTCCTCCCCTCACCTCTGGTCATGAACTCTGTAGAGACTGAAAGAATGAGATCGTGGATCCAGGAGGTTGAAATGAGTTTCCTCTGCAGAGCTGGACTCTCCCTCAGAGACAGGGGGAGAAGTTCAGTTATCAGGAGAGACTCAGAGTAGAACCACTGCTCCTCCACATCCAGAGGAGACAGTTGAGGTGGTTCATCTGGTAAGGAGGCTCCCTGGACACCTCCCTAGGGAGGTGTTTCAGGCATGTGCTACTGGGAGGAGACCCGGACACGCTGGAGAGACGTCTCCGTTGGTCTGTAAACACCTTGAGGTCCTCCCAGAAGAATTGGAAGAGGCTGTGGAGTGTCTGGACCTCCCTGCTCTGATGCTGCCCCCGAGTCCAGAACAAGAGGAAGATGATGGATGGGGGGAGGAAGAGGTGTTTGATGTATGACCAGCAGCTCTGCCCGAACACATTTAGTTTTCATGATACTTGTACACGGAGCAGAGTCCATCCACGAGTTCTTTCTATCACGTCCAGTTCTGGGCCCCAACTTCTCTACGTGTCTTCAGCTGTTCCTCGGTGGACCTCTAGGTTCCTCAAAGTGTTGTGTGATGTCATGTCTTCACTTCCTTCTGTAAATCAGATACTCGTTTCAATCGACGTTCGGCTGATTCAGAACAACCAACATGTTTTAATAGTTTATAATAAAGTTTCACGGCCCAGTAAAGTATCGAACTGGCAAACGAGATCTTTAACGAACTGCACCCCAAACATGGAAGTCCCATCAGACACCGGCTGAACTTCACCCGTTTTAATAATCGTGTCACTTTAAACTCGGACATCTAGAACAAAACAAGCTTTTTAAAAATCATTAAATTCTTTGAACAGATTTATTAAAGAAGCAGTTCGACATCACTAAAGTTACAATAAAAAAACATTTAGTAAAAAAATACAAGTGAGTACCAGACATCAGTTCAGGTGTGTTTAATTCTTTTAAGTTATTTGTACACGGACAAACATCAACATTTTCTGTCTGACAGCTGTCAATCATCAGACAGAATGACGACGAGCTATGCAGAAATGTAGATATTTAATACGAGGAGCATGTTAGACACCTGTACAGGTGAGAAACAAACGATAAAAGACGTCTGATGTTTGCACATAAAAAACACTGAAAAAAATACAAACTGAAGCAGAAACTGTCCCGCACCATCAGCTGTCAATCACCGAGTTACAGCTGTCAATCACCCTGCAGCTTCAGGACAGAACATCTGGCTCAGAGAAGTTACACCTCAAAATAAGAAGAACTGCATGCTGGGAAAAAATATCTAAACTACTCAAATTGAAAAACTTGAACTGACAAACTACATCGGCGAGCTTAGCTCCACCCCCTTTACTTGTGTCCTTTACTGGTCTTGAAGGACACCTGCAGGACTTTGTCCCCCAGCCGGTACCCGTTCAGGCTGTGGATCGCCATGGCCGCCTCCTCGTAGTTCGCCATGCTAACGAAGCCGAAGCCTTTGCACTTGTTGGTGTTGAAGTCTCGGATCACTTTCACGTTGACGACGGCGCCGAACGGCCCGAACATCTGCCACAGCATGGCCTCGTCTGCCTCCTGACCCAAGTTATAGATGAAGATGCACCAACCAGAGGACGGGCTCCCAGAGGCTCCGCCCCCTCCACCCATGTGGTCAACGCTCATCGGAGAAAACCTGGAACCAAACAGGAAGTCAGACAGCTCATCTGATCAGTGAGGTGACCTCATCACCAACAGCCAATCAGGGCGCTGCGTCTCAGTGTGCTAAATTCAGTAATCTGATTACTTTGCTGCTCTCACCTGAACCTCTGCGCCTGGTGATGAACTGGACCCCCGAAGCGTCGTGACTGGCCGTGGTACGTCTGTGCCATCATCACAGAGTTCTTGCCCTGATTGGGGTTGGCAGCAAACTTGACAGTGATGGCCTCAGAGCTGCCGGGCGCCATGTTTCCATTCAGGTGTCTGATGGCGGCCTCGGCCTCGGCCCTCTTGTCATAACGGATGAAGGCCACGCCCCGAGAGAGTCCTGAACACCAATCACATGACGAGATCAGTTACCGCCACACTTTCACCAACATGGAGTAACCCGACATGCTCGAGCTCTACGACCAAACACAACAAGTATGGACGTCCACGCCACGGCGTGGTCACATGACTGAGCACGCCACGGCGTGGTCACATGACTCAGCATTACCAGAAGCCTGGTCCACCAGAACTCTGGAGTTTATGATGCGTCCGAAAGGAGCAAACATGTCTTCGAGGTCCTGCTGACTCAGGGTCCTGGGCAAGCCGCTGATGTAGAGATTAGCGTCTTTGATCATGTCCGAACTCGGTCGAGCAAACGAAACCTACAGGAAGGAAACGGAAGTGTTTCAAAATATCGTCTTCACAAGAAAAAAATTAAACACTGAAAAGAATCTTACATTAAAAAAAATACACAGTTGTATTTAGTCTTCAAAGAAAAAACAGGATATTTTAAAAAAATTATCAACAGGTTAACATTTACCCAGATTTATTTAAAACAAACTAAAAAAAAGAAATCATTAAAACAGGCTCTGACCGTTTTTTCAAAATAAAAGCGCATTAATTGTTTAAAAGAAAGCACATGGCACAGATTCAGAGCATGTTTCAGAATAAAACAAAAGCATGACAGCAGAGGTTTTAAACTACCTTCATCCATCAGACAGTTTGCAGGTGAGAGCGCCTCCTACTGTCCGGGGAACATAACACATCTATCAGGTGAAACAGAAAGTCAAAGAGCACCTGTGGCACGTTACCTTGATAGTTTTAGACTGTAGCCTCAGGCCATTGAGGGTACTGATTGCCCTCTCTGCATCATTATGGTTAACAAAGTTAACAAAGCCGTAACCTAAACTGTGGCCTAGAGAAACACAAAGGAAAACAACAAAATAACACAACAAAACTGTCTGTGAAAGCATCACGTTCTGAAGAAACAAAACTGAGCACAGGTCACGTCACGGCAGTTTCACAGTGTTGAAAAAAATAAAAGTTATAATTCTGAACAACCCCAGAAAACTCACGTCTTCACCTCCTCCTCTGTTCGTTCAACACATCCAGGTTAGCTTATCTGAATTAATTACCGTAATTTCTGGACTTTTAGCGCGCACCTGAGTATAACGTGCACACACTAAAAATTTTTAAAAAAAATTCGTACATCTGTGAGCCGCAGGTGTGCACGCTGTAACAAGTGGCAGCACAGCTGCTGACAGATGTGCAGCTCTTGTAGATCAAGAATCAACCACCAGATGGAGTTTCACTAACTGATGAAGAGTCACAGGTCGTCATGACAACCGCCTCCCTCACTCATGGTTACTCTGCTGAATGGACTAACACAAACTAGTCTAACAGGAACAGACTAATCACTAAAACAACAATTCTAAACAGAGAACTGAAAAGATTAACAATGAACATTTTACCCACAATCCCTCTGAGGTCATGTGACCAACAGTCAACCACAATGAACCACAGAATGCTACAATGCGTACCTGTAACACACAGATGCAGTAAATGTTTTTTTCTGAACGGTGCCGGTAACACGGCTGGTTCAAAAACAACAGAGCAGCCAACCAGGAAGTCCTTGATCACCGACTCCTCCTGCAACAAACTTCAACTTTGCTTTTTCCTCCTCACTCGCCCTGGAGCAAGACTGATGCTTTCCTTCCCTCTCCTGCTCCCCCTCTCCTGCTCCTCCTCTCATGCTCCCCCTCTCCTGCTCCTCCTCT